GCTTATAGCCATACATTTTTTTAACAAAAAGAAGGAACTTTATATTAATTTCAAAATTAATGATTTTGTCTAATGCGTTCCAAGAGCTCCTGCAGGGCCTACTGCTAAATGCAGCTCTTGCATATATGATAATTACGGTATAATCTGCTTACTGACTATTATTCAATCTCAATTTTTATTGTTTATACGGTGTTTTTAATTTTGCAAAGTGATTTTATCTGCCGATAACAGTCTGGTTGACAATAAATTGTGCAGTCTCACATTTGCATCTAACACTTGTTGTATAAATTTAAAACACTGACAGCATAAATGTCGTTTTACGGTCGTATTTTCTTTCAAACTGCAAATTCACTTTCTCCAGGATTTTCCTCCGGTAGTTTTCTAACCTATTTTTTTTTGTTCAGGGTTTCTGCAAGTCTCGAAATAATACATCTGGTATAAAATACATACAGTAAGATTTGTTCTATAGGTCTTTTAGCTTCTTGGCATTCCGCTTTGGCGTTGAGTCAACAACAATTTCACCATGTTCCATCTTTCGCAGCTGCTTCTATTGTTAATGAAGTTATTATTAGCATTGCCAGTATCTTAATAGTAACAATTTTTTGATCATGTTATACTGATTCGGCTTTATCGCCATTTTTTTTAAATTTAAGCATGATTATTTTCGTACGCCTTGTAGAAAATATCACTCATCTCAGCGTCTAGTATTAACGACATGTATAAAATTTAAATTTGCTCTTAACTCATGGTCATGAACCGCGCAACTATTTTCCTGTCTTGGTTTTCCTGGCATCATTCGAATATCATGATCATGAGTCTCATTATACCTTTGCAGCATGCCATGCTTCCTGACTAGTTCGGCCTCTGCATTGACCGTCTCTCTAAATGTGTGTTTCCTCTATATTTCAGTCATCCCTGGCTTCAATAATGTTCTGGGATATATCTTCATATTTCCTTGATTATTCTGTAGCTTTTTGTGATTTTCTTAAAGCCTTTGCAACGAAAATTGTTTTCCTCAGGAATCAATATATTACATTTTATTTTTTCATACTATTTTATTTCTCATTATGATTATTCATAATTTTCATCAGACCAGCGAAATATACTCGAGAGCTCGATACTCCTCTTGCAGCCTCTTATTCAATTTGCAATGTGCATAGCACAACTTCGCTACTTGTTAATTTCTTCGTATTGGCGTTTCGAACATACGTTTTGCTTTCCGCTTTATTTTATGAGCAATATTTTTGAAATTAATTTTAAAAACAAGCAGCAGATGTTGCCATTATAGGCAAAGGAAAATTATCTTAGTACTTTTATAGACTGCTGAAATATATTCGGTCGAAAAGTTTCAGTTAACAATTAAAGGAGACAATTACAAATGTGTTAGGCAAACTTTGTAATTAGCAGATCCAGCTGACTAGCTGAATTTTCCTCAATTGTCCCGCTAATTCTATCTCGATGAGGGATTACCTAGCGCACAAAACTTCTTAATTTGAAAAGACCTAACTTCAATATTAATTGCAGAGTGACTGAGCTCATTTCTCCTAAATCTATCCCGACGCTGAGGGACGTTTTTGTCACACCCAAAAGAAATTATGCCTCTATTCTTAACGCGTGATTTATACCCCTGAGAAAAACTGAAATAATCAGTTGGAAAATACTAGAGATGGTAACTATTATGAATGAGCTGACGCTCAAAATACGACACTGAACAATATAGCGCGCGATGCTGTATGAAATATACAATTAATACCTGCCCTAAAAGATGAAGGAAATGTGAACGATACCGAAGGCTTCAAGAAGCAATTAGTTACAGTCAACTTAGAAGATCCCTTTGCCCAATTTCAAGTTGGACTAAGCAATTACAGTTTAACTGCTATTCACCTAGCCTTCAAATGAGACAACTTTTCAGCGAACTAAAAAGAGCAACTAAAGTTCTTTCGACACAGGTGTGCGTGCTTAAAACTTATTATTACTGCCACTGAAAATATTGCTCTCTGCAATTCAAAATAGAACTGTTTTGTATAGCAACGTTCGGATCCAGTAGTGCCATTACGGCAGGTAATTTTTCTTACTTAATTTGCTTTAAATTACAGGCTTAAACTGAATGCATAATAGAATCGACCTGAATAAATAATACATCAAGATAGCAGCTTAAACATAAGGTGCCCATGTTTGAAATTATTTGGCCTAAATTTTACAGGTTAAAACGCTCGACGGTTCTAACATCTTCCTTAATACTTTGCATAATCTCGGCACACATGAATGTTTCCCGGGATAAAGTTTTCAAATTGCTTAGAAAATCGCGGTTGAAATTTTATCATGAACGTTGGGTGTTCCAACAAAACCAAACACTTATATGTATAAGAAACTCCGCATTGTAAGACGAATATTTTAAATACCGAAGTTAATTTTTATCAACTGGCTCCACATATGAATTTTCATCTTGCTGCAGTCTAATATACAGAGCGTTTGGTAAGTTGATGTCTTGGTCGTAGATGGGTTAAAGTTGTACAAATAATTTTGAGTCAAATTGCCGAGTTAAGCATATTATTTACTACCAAACTTACACTCCGATTTACAGCGTTCTGATATTGTCATTAGGAAAATCAAATTCACCCACACTACTAAAAACCCCGTGTGTAAAATGTTTCAGATTTTTACACACCACACCCAGCTGCAGCTTTAAAGCGTTGTTTTCAGGATTATACTGGAAAAGTTAAAAATCCTGACAACAATATGGTCAAGCAAAATGGGTTGATCAGACTGCCGAATTTATAAGTGAGTGGACATCAGTAATTATGCAATTTTATCAGTACTCATTGCTTTGACTTAACCTTAGCTTAAAGCTTACATGGTTTTGCTCCTATCAACTCTACAATTTGTGCAAATTGAAGCCGTCACTACCCTAGAAATAATCAACTTGCTTCAGAAACATTGCCCAACCTATGGGCAGTGTTTGCTAAAGTCTCTAATAAACTGAGCATACAACGACCTACTTTTTCTCAATGAGACTAGGCAAATTACATAAAGTTTAAAATATGAAAAATAAAATGTAGGCGCTGGTGCTGCCTTGAAAGGGTCGAAAAGAATTATTATTTATGACAAAAGCGCTTTGAAAGTGTCATTTTCGTCGTAGAGTGTTCGGCTTGTGTGCTTAAGGCTTGTTATCGCTGGCATGAAGACAATAGTTAGTGGAATTCAAAAGAATATTTTCAGTGCAATATGGTCCAGGCGAGGCAAGGAAGAAAATGAGGCGATTGCATTCCGCATTAATACGTACCTATGCATATAGGAAGTTACGCTACTAAATAATGTTACGCTAATAAATAATAAGTTGTTGTTTAAAATATATCAAGAATGAAAATATATATTTCAGTTTGAATAACGAAACTAAAGCTATTTCGGAGGCTCCAAAATATTAGATAGTAAACATTAAGTCAGTTAAGATAAATTCATGAACGATGGAAACTGTGTGACTTTTCAAGCTACAATTTATTCGATATCAATTAAAATATAATATAGAGACCCTAGATATTGTACCGTGGATGGCCGAGTATCTAACCCTTTCTTCAGCTTCCAACTTTTATTCACCTCGGTATAACTTTAAATGCGGAACAGGAACAAACTAACTTCAAAATTACCGTCAACTTCACAAACGATAACAATAACCGACGGAAAACTCGCTCTTCCGACTCGCGGGGTTAAACCTATTCTGCACCCGGTCTCTGCTGTCACTTCACTTCGCCTGTCTGGTTCTCCTCGCCGCTTATATAGATTCCTTCAGGTAACCCAGATGCTTCTCGAAATCTAGGCCAAAATTGCTATACTTTCCGTCTTTACCACTTCTTTCATTTTCGCCGCTGTTAATATCTCTTCCACAGAGTCGACTTCTTTCGCCACTTGATAATTTCCCTCTGTTGAAACAGTTACTTTTGATAGCAACCTGGTAAGTTTTCACAAGAGTTATCAGTTTTAGCCACATCATCTGCTTCAGAGACAACTGAATCACTTATTTTCCCAACTAAGGACAGTTTCTGATCAGAACTAGCCACTTCGGGCTCCACCTGAATTTCCTCTAAATGCTCCTGAGCAATTTGTTCATTCGTGATCTCGACAATACCATCTTCTCGATCAACTTTCGGCTCTTGAACTACTGGATTTTTATATTCTGGCTCTTCTACTACTGCAGGAATGTCCACGATTTCAGTGTTTTCCAAATCATCAGTCACTTCCTCGATGTTCTTTAGTTTGCCTTCAACGGTTGTTTTCAGGTCTTCAATTTTCTTAGCGTTGTCGTCTATTTTATTCAGCATCTCTTTGTATTTGTCATTCATTTTGTTCATTTTTTCGTCCATTTTCCTACTGTTGTCGCTCATTTCGTCCATCATTTTCCTACTGTTGTCTTCCATTTTGTCATTCATTCTGTTAATTTTTTCGTCCATTTTCCTACTCTTGTTTTCCATTTTGTCCATTTTGTCGCTCATTTCGTCTTTCATCTGCATGAGCAGTGCAATCAAACTGGGGTTCTCCATTGCAGGGTCTTCCTTCTTTGATTTACTTCTTGTTTCCATCAAA